AACACTGTCTTAAAAACATGTACGTGTAATTATGTACCTCAAGTGAAAATTCTTTGAAGCTGTGAGAAGAGCTAGTTCAGCAGGTAATAGTTTTTCTAGCTGGTGTGACAACTGGTGAACAGTCTCCCACAATAAAAATCACTGTTAAAGGAAAAAAAAAAAAAAAAAAAAAAAAAAAAAAAAAAAAAGAGTTGCCTAAAAGATTTTTAGGTCATGTCAAACTAAAATAAAATTCTCTGTCTATAAAATAACAAGGTTATCTTAATATTGTTCTGCTCTAAGTAAAAACTGTTATAGGAAAAGATTTTATCAAAGAAGTTACTTGTGTTTTCTGTTGATCTCATCAAGCTTTAAGTACTACTTAATCAGAGTTCATTTATGTATTTGCTTATAACTGTGTGGTGTCTATACTTTATCTAAATATGGTACAAACATTTACAAAGTCAAAAGTGCCAATTTATATAAAATAATGAGCTAAAGCTCTCTTTATCCAAAAGTGTTACATTTAACCTAAATCCTGACAGCCCTGCCTCTCACAGGTCACCTACCTGGGTGTTCTTAAAGGGACAGACTCACTCCCTGAGTCATGAGGGAATTGACCCAATACTCCGTTTCCCACTTCCCCATGCCATAAAGCAGCTTAAATCTTTCTTGGGAGTTACAGGATTTTGTAAAATCTAGATCCCTAGATATACAGCCCTTACCAGACACCTTTTTATGCTCCTGCTAATATTCCTATTTGGGTCTTGTGTAATAAATGCTCTCTCCAGATTTATATCTCAACAGGTCTGACTGATCAAACTCCAGCCTTTAGTCAAGGAATACTCACCTCTGCCTTGGCATGAGCCTCAATCCCATTCTATCGGGCCCCTGGAAACTACACAGGTCAACCCCTGAGATAAGTACTCTCTCCCCTATCCCCCTGTCACCCCATTGTCAGCACAAAGCAGCTAGATGAGTCATTGCCTCTCTACCCAACAGCAGTTGGGTGCTTGTCTCAGAGGGAGAATTTGTTGGGTCTGGAGACCTAAGGCCGATGAATGGGTATCCCATCCCCCATAGAGGGCAGTATGCTTCCTACATCCTGAGGAGATGGAGGCCTGCATTCCTGCGTCCTAAAGAGAGATAGAGATCTGCCACAGGGCTGATGAGCAAAATGCTCTCTTCCCCCAATAAAGGTGCTAACCAAACCAGTTTACCTGAGAAGGCCCATTAATCCATGGCCAATGAGAAAACCCACCTAACCCAGAGCTAAAATGTCCGTTAAAACCCTAACCTTCACCTGTGCAGCGAGCCACTGGCTTCTGGGCTCCACTGCAGTACCCTAGCTGTACCCTTTCCTTTCTCTCTAATAAATCCTATTTTATACACTGGCTTTGGCTCATTATTCAGCTGCCTCATGAACCAGTTCTCTGGCCTGTGAAGGCAGGGACCCTTGACACCGGAACTTAACAGTATGGAATACAAATCCAAGGCTACTTTCTAAGATGTGTGAATCAGGTTAATTCTTTTTCTATTGTTGAATTTAAGTTCTATTTTGAATCTATGTTCTATGAAGGAAATCTGGATAACCACAAATATTCTGGGTTTCTACTTTCCTAGCCCTTGGGTTTGTTCTCAGTTTCCAGCGATTGTGGGCTAGGCTGATCCTTGGAGGTTAGTACCTGTGGTATGCCTTGATGTGCTGAAAAGAGCTTTATAGTGTCAGATCCTGGCAACAGATAGCAGAGGAGGATACAAGCCACCATTCCTCTTTCTCAATGAAAGCCCCTACCTCGGCTAATTCTGCATTCTCTTAGAAGGCACATGGGTAGTAGGGCTGTCTTCCAAGGCACTGTTAATTCTTGAGAAACAAGAACCTCTTAGGCCCTCTGCCTTATGATGATGCATCTTGCTTTCATGCCATGGCATGTTCCCAAGTACCCAAAGTAATTGGATAGCTTACTATTATCCCTCCGATCTTGACTTTGAAAGGGGTATCAGAGTAGTGCACCAGCCATTATTCAGGACGTCACCCATGCCTCTGCTCTAATCTTTTGTTCGGAGGCCCAAATATTCAGAATTGCCACTTAGCTAGTCTCACAAATGTTACCATGATACACAGAGTGCTTTTTTTTTTTCTTAGGGGACAGGCTAAAGAAACTTGGCTCAGTCTGGGTTGTAAGGAAAGATTTCCAAGGAGGAAATGATGTCGAAGGAAGACCTTGAAGGATGGGTTGGAATGAACTGGGCAAATGGAAGAGGAAGAGTCTCTGAGATGAAAAAGTAAGCATAAGCAAAGATAGAAAAGGAAGAGGCTCAGTGCATCTGGAAAAGTGCAAGTAGACCTGTTGCTGGAACTAAGTGTGCAAGTTCAGAAGGGCTGGGAAACGGGAGAGATGTCCCAAGAGGTTTCTGATGATCCATCCATTAAGCTAAGTGGATGTTTCCATCTTAGGGACAAGGGCTGGGAGCATGGCCCAAGTGGTAGAGCACCTGACTAGCAAATGCAAGGCCCTGAGTTCAAACTCTGGTACCACCACCTCCAGGACATTAGAAGGAAAATGAAGCTTAGAAGATGAACATAAAACCTATCATCTAAACAAGGACACTCTGGCAACTGAGAACTGGGACTGCCTTAGGCCTACTGAGACATCTGGTCATATATATATGAAGGTGACCTGAATCTGTCTGGAGTTATGTAAAATAGGGATGAGACACATCGAGCAACTGTAACAGTTTAGATAAGAAACTGGTTAAGTGGGAGAGAAATATATTTGTGATCTATGTAGCATGTTGAGTTGATGAGGCTTGGTTATTTTGAGCCGTTCTATATATGTGTGTGAAAGAGAAATTTAGCTTTGTCTTGGCCCCCTGATCAGTGAATGATCTGAGACAGGGGATAGTGAAGAAGGAACACATCTGTGAGCTGAGAATAGATGAATGGTGGAGACTGGTTAAACTCTGGATGTTCTGAGTAATGTGACACTCATAACTAATTCAAGTACATGTCTGGAAAACTGTATTAAAAACATAGGCAAGTCACAAGCATTGTTTATACTCAGTTCACAGCATTTGTCCAGAATTGCTATTCGAATTAGTTGTTTGCCATTTTTCATACTTAGTGGCATTGGCAAGCATTGCTTTGTAATTTATTAATTTATTTTTGGCTGTACTGGGTCTTGAACTTAGGGCCTACTCTTTGAGCCACTCTACCAGCCCTTTTAATGATGGGTTCTTTCGAATTGGGTCTCAAGAACTATTTGCCCAGGCTGGCTTCGAACCGTGATCCTCCTGAGTAGCTAGGATTACAGGCATAAGCTACCAGCGCCCAGCCTGCTTTGTAATAATTTTCAAACACTTCAGGTTTGAGTATACTCTCTACCTTTCCAGGTCCATTGTCTTTTCCCATGTATAGGTATGCTAAGTGACTGACCTGCAGGGACTTTATTTATGGCTCTCACTCAAAACTCTTGGGATTGGCCAATGGGCAACATAGGCAGGAAAAGAAGGGAGGAAGTGAGGCCAAGGGTTTGATTTTTCTGATTCTTCTCTGTCAGGCAGCTGGGGCCAAGTAACCTCCCTCCTGTATCCACAGCTGTCAGATAGTTGTCTGTATACACCTGCCATCTCCAGGGGCCAATATTCTGTCCCTCTGTTTGCCTGCTATGGTTTAGATATGGTTCAAATCTGTTCCCCAAAGGCTCATGTGCTGGAAGTTTGGTCACAATGTGGTGGTATAGAGATGGTGGAATCTTTAAGAGGTAGAGCCTACTGGAGGTGATTGGTCCTGGTGTCATTGTACTTGGAAGGGATTCATGGTGGGCTCTAGATTTGAGTTATTTTCCATAAAAGTATGTTATTATAAAAAGGGGAGAGCTTGGTCCTTGAATATCTGGCTTCCTGTCTCTCTACCACATGTGCTCCTGACCCTGCCATTGTGATGCCATCTTCAAGGAGTTCCTCACCAGAGGTTAAACTGATGGGGTTACTGATTGTGGAGTTTCTGCCTCATAAGTGTGAGTTGATAAACCTCACATTCTTTCATCTTACCCAGCCAGAAGTATTTTGTTACAGCACAGCAAATAGAGTAAAACATTGCCCTTCCAGGCCTGGGGATGCTGGCATTCTTCACTGTGCTTGCTTGAGAGTCAGTGTTTTCTCTTGGTGATTCTTTGCATCCTGCTCACACATTTCAAAGACATATGCTTGCAAATCCTCCTCAAATGATCCAGTTTGACGATGCCATCTGTTTCTTGCCAGAACCCTGACTCATATAAACCTGGATTTCTTTTTAAGAGACCGATTGGCACCTGGTGAAGAATGTGTGAAGGAAAAGCACCTTGTGGCAGGAGTACTGCTGGAGTCCTGACCTGAACACCCTGTTAGATTCACAGAACAGTTTGCCATCACACTCTCCAAACTTGTGAGCAAGTGCCCTTTTACACCAGCTGAGTCACCAGCAGGGGTGTTTAGGGAAAGGAAGGAGAAAGAGAATAAAAAGGCTTTACAGAAGAGGAATTAACTTAATACTTTAGGATTACATCACAATTGACAACTTAAAGCAAAATTTCTACATACTAAACCCAGGAAGCTTGGTTAAATGATTTCAACACACACTTGTTCCTCAAAGGAACAGTAGAAAGATGAGCAATTTCTTTAACTCCTTTCAAAGATTTGTAATCCTTAGAAATAGAAAGTGTTAAATTATATGTTTTGATTTCTAGTGGGGGAAATAGGGACCCAAATGAGAAGAGGATCTCGAGGCAGCTTGACTTTCACATTGAGAATAAGCATACCAGACTATTGAAACGTTAGATTTCAGGCAGGTATAGTGGAGTCTTCCAAATTTTCTTCAGTACGGTCTTGGTGTCCTCGCAATTAACTCAAGGATGCGTCTTGTGTCATGCGTCTGATGCAGCGGATGACTGGGCGACTCATGTATCTGAGGCAGCAGGTGATTGGGCGACACAAGCATGAGGCACAACTACGAAGTCTGGGATTACTTGTCATGATAAGCAAGTCATGATTTTAGTTTCCAGTCCCTGCTACAGAGACTGCGCAAATCCTGGGACTTTGTGATGGCCCTGTATTCTATTGCCATTTTCCCCATACAATGAGCTACCTGATGAAGTGACTGATCATCTATACCAAAGCACAATCGGTAGGCTTCCAGAACCTCCCTCAAGTCATCAACATCCCTGATGTCAAGAAAATCCTGAAAACGCTCTTTGGCTATTCTCTCTTTCAGGTCAGTCACTTATCATTGACAATATTCTCACAGATCTGGGAAAGGGCCTCTAGGGAGCATGGTACCTGATGTTGGAGAGGTCTTTTTGCAGTGTGTCCCTAAGCTTAGGGAAGTCATGCAATAAAGGGTCAAGGTTAGATACCAGAAATAAAGAAGGGTCACGCAAGCCCTCCCACTGGAGATTTTCCTGGACATTCTCTCGGATATTCTTCCGGGTCTGGGTGTGTGAGAGGACACTTGTGCTGAGGTCCCTGTCTAGCTTAGTCCAGACTACATAGAACCTCTTTCCCATCCCCTTAAGGGTTTTAGCAAGCTTCACATGATTCATGCTGAACTGCTCAGATGCAATGATGATGAAGAGGTCATACTGGCTGAACTGCATCTCATCCAGATAGTTCTCAAAGCTTTGGGTGGTGGCCCCCATGCCAGGCAGATCCCACAGCACCACGTTGGGAAAGAGGGAGGAAGAGTAGCAGGCTCGGGTCTGGGTGGTCCTCACCACCCCAGTGGGAGCCGAGGTCTCCTCCTCATGACCAATGTCTCGAAGCGCATTGACGAAGGATGACATACCATTGCCTGAATCCCCAGTCACTGCGATGCTCACTGGGGTCCTGGACACTCTCTCCATGACTGCCCTGGTCACAGGGATCACTTCCAGCAACTTTCCGTTTTGCAAGGCCCTCTCAATATTCCTGATGACCTCCTCAGGTAAAATACTCCAGCCCGTGTGGTATGACGCAGTAGAGGGGAAGGATGTAGACAACGGAGTGCAATAGGACACGGGGGCCTCTGCCATGTTGGTTAGCAGTGGAGCAACCTGCAGAAGTAGAAGAGCCAGGAAGTTAGATGTAGGATGACACAGGAATCAACAGACTTTTAAATCCCAGTCCAAGGCTTTCAGATCCATAACTAAAGACATTTCATTTACCATCAGAACACCAAACAGTCCTTCAGGATATTTGCGCATTCTTAGCAGGTAGGAAGAACCTGAAAATGGCTCTATAACCATTGTGTTAAATACAAGCCCCAAAGTAGGACTGTGGGATGCTTGGACTTGAGCAGCAGAATGTCAGTTGGGTAACTCAGTGAGAGCCCATGTTCTTACTTCAGCCAAATAGGTAACTAGGAGTCCAGCTTGTGCCAGATGTTTAGATTCCACAACTCACTGGTGAGGACTTTTAAGCCCTGAACTCACAGAGGTTATCCTTGTCCTTTTTTTTTTTTTTGGTGTTATTGTGGTTTGAACTCAGGGTTTCATGCTTGTGCAAAGTAGGCGCTCTACCTCTTGAGCCATACCTCCAGCCCATTTTCTCTGGTCATTTGGTGATGGTGTCTTGTGATCTATTTGCCCAGGGCTGTCCTTGAGCTGTGATCCTCCCATCTTAGCTTCCTAAGTAGCTACGATTACAGGAATGAGCCCTAACACCCAACTGAGGTTGTCCTTCTCTGTCAGGTATAATTTATTTATTTATTTTTTTACCATACCATGATAAATGTTTTTGTCTTTTTCCAAAATATTTCTTTTCTTGTAAAATTGGGATGATGTTTTTGCAATAGTGTAGATAGTAAATACATATCTCTCCTCAATTCCAACAGATATGTGAAAATAATCTGTCCAAATAATCTACTGATGTTTTAGGTCAGTGCTTATGTTTGCACATTTCTCTGCATAACTGTTGATTGTGTCACTATTACTATAGATATTCAAGCTGTTATGTCAAGGTAGGCTTCTCTTCTTGACTGAATCCTTGCCATGGCATTGAGGCATTTGTGGGGGCAAGACTGGGAAGAGAATTGGTTGAGATTACAGTGAATTCCACTCAAGGTTGCAACACAAACATTGTTCCTACCTGATGGGCTTTCAGAATCCCACGATCATAGGTAATTGCTATGTTACTTTCCTTTAGAATTCAATTCCCTTCTTTGTGCATGAATGCAAATTAAAAAAAATGAAAACTCAAGGCCATTTCTTTGACTGAAGAGTTTTTTCTTGAACCTCACAGAGGTTCCATGCAGCTCCAAAAGGAGCTCCCTGCCAGATCCACACATTGGGTCTCTTGAAGCAGATGGAGACTTGTACTAAGACTGAGGTGGCAGGAGTCTTCTCCAGAAGACCCACTTGTCCACATGTAGGACAAATTTCATAGACACTAGTAGGTCCCAAGGTGCAGTTTCTTGCCCTGCTCAAGCTCCCTGGGCACATACCCTCCCAATACCTCTCCTGGGGTGGCTCCTATCTACAACCCAACATTGTTCCCCATACACCTTGGGCTGCTATTTACCTAGTTCAAGGTCTCTGGAGTGGACCTTCACATAGCAGTAATAGGCCAAAGTCCCTCATGTGTTCGAGGACCAGCTTGGCTCCTTGCATTGTGGACAAGTTTCTGAAACCTAGGGAAGTCATACTACCCACCTCCCAGGATTTGTGTGATGGTTTCATGACAAGATTGGTGTGAAGCCCTCTGTACAGCTCTGAGCACTCTTGGTGAAGTCTCTGGTCTTGTCAGGATCCCTGAGGAAGTCGTTCCTCTGGTTCTTCCTCCCTCCAACTTTAACCACACAGCAAGAAGGTCCTCTGTGAATCTGTCTGTGCTGGGTCCTTTGCATCCCTTATCTTAATATTCCTTAAATCCTATTAGATAAGTTATACAATTATTTCTGATTATGGATGAATAAAAAGAGAATTATGAATAAATAAGCAATACTGCATTACAGAGATGGTGGGGAGGGAACCAAAAGTTTGAACCTCACAGTGTGATTCTATGTTTCTGTCTGGATGGCAAAAGAAAATCTTGTTTAACAGAAACTCATGACTGCTGGATGCTGAGCAGCTTCCCATTGGAACGTTGGTTTCACTTACTGCCTTGTTATTTTTCCACTGTCTGGACACAACTTTTATCATTGTGGAAGAGAATGGAAACCACTGTCTGCCATCCTCCTATCTTCATCCTGCCACTGGTTTGTGACTGTAATGAAATGTCACCTCGTCTTCACTTTAGGAGACAATGAGCTCTATATTTTAGGGGTTTACATCTACTAGGTTGGGAAGATGCGTAATTGAATGGTGACAGAGATATCCAGAGTTTAGTGGAAGATAGGATATTGGGAAAGACTGTCATCATACCTCATTTATGCTTTGGAACTATAAACCCCTGAGGTCTGAGACTTCAGAAACTATCCAGAATCTTCCCTTCAGTGGTCCCTGTGAAAGACTCAAGGTGTTGTAATGCCTGTCAGGTGGTTTCTTCCTTCTGTCTGGAGTCAGGGTGTCCTGATCTTGGTGTGAGTGTGAATGGCTTGGTAGAAAGGCTAGTGCTGCTGAGGCAAAGCTGGCTAAGAAGCCAGAA